ATGTTTTATCACTACAAATGAGGTGTGTTCTCACCCTAAATAAAGTCTTCGAGATGCTGTCTTTTGAATTAGCAAGCCAGGCAATACACCCACTGGTGTTTTGACTCACAAATAGATTTTAGTGTGTCAGTAGAGCAGAAGAAGAAGAAAACAGAGAGCGGGAGACAAGGCAGAGAGAGAGAACTGAAACAGATATAAAAAGGACAGGAACAGAGGTTGCCCCCAAACAGAGCTCAGCAGCACACATCATCCCAATCATCATCATCATCTCCAACAGCAGGATCAGCAGGAGTCCTCCGTGCCCTCAGGGTGCCTCCTTCACAACTCAACCCTGCATGAGCCCCCTGTTCCCCCTCCCACGCTGTCCTACATAGCACACAGTCTGTCCAGCACCATGACCCATTTAATAAGCCCTGACCTCGCTTGACAGCATAACATAAAGATCCATCTGCATTAGCCTCAATCTTAACCCAACAAGGAAACGCTGTGTGTTGTTAGGCCTGAGAAAACCCACTCAAAACTTAGCTACAGTTCGAGGGCAAAGTCGCTGCAGATGCTGCTTATCTTGCACTGAAGTGTACTCTCTCTTGGATCAATGATCTAGTTAGTGATTCAATTTTTCACGCAAAGGCAGGCCTCGCACTCATCTGCCCACTGCACCACCACGAGAAACAGACTGAGCAGCAATTCAGCATTTAAGTTCTGAGGAAGAGCAAGGGTGAGAGCTCACAAATTATTTAGAACTGGGTGGATATGCAGGGGATGTTTACTAAATTCTGAGTAGTATGGATAAAATAAATATTGGTTTAGATTGATTGAACGTGCAGCTGATTTCTTTTCATCTTGCTGAACCCACTGCCCCTTTCAGTTTGAGTGAACATTATTATAACCACAGACATTTTCTTATGCAAACAGGAACACATTGTCCCCAATACCAGGAAGTAATGTTTGCTAGTACTCACAATCCCTTTTGCAATCTAGAGAAACCATCAGTTCACAGGGCCTGGTCATGCAAGTGCACAAGCACATTCAAATACAAGCACAGGTGTTTGCACCAGTTTGATGTAACTGGATCCAAATGACAAAACATTTGGTGTTTGGTGTGCTGTCACTGGCTCTTGGCACGCCCAAGTAAACACGCACAAACAAGGCAACGGAGCTGGCACACTTGAAGAGATGGAACAAAACCGTCCCTTCAGCCGAGAACAGAATCACAGAGGGGAAGAAGCCCTCGATGCTTATTGGTATTCCCTCCAGCTGATCCTCATGGATACAGACGCTCTCCCACTCAGGGCTCACACAGGGAAACAGGAAGAAAACCAGCGATATGGAGCGTGAGAGGGACAAGGAGCACATCTTTCATTTTAAAGAAACCTGACCCGGCGTCTCCCCCCTCCGCCCTCTCCTCTCATCTGCATCCCACAGCTGCATATGTGGTCAAACTTTGATTGCTTTCTTTACTGAGGGGCCAAACTGTGCACCTTATTGGACTAAAAGGAATGGGGAAACTTGCAACAGAGTCTAAAGTCTTAAATTCCCTGAATGAATGATCCCCAGGGGGTCAGGGGAATTAATTGCTTAAGACATATTCACTATTATCTTAGAAGACAAGCTGCTCCAGGACTAAATCAATAGTCCATTAACACTTACTAGTGCCTGCTTGCCTCCAGTGACTGAGAGAGTATTGAGCGGGATTCAATTAAGATAAATACGCAACTATATTCAAGTGACCAAAACCGTTGATGTAACGAGGCTGGCGAGGACTCGAACACTTCAAAAGATATTTTCGGCTGCTCCCTTATTCGCGAGGTGTCACGGCAGGTAGCTCTGCATGTTTGGTTTGGCAGATTTTTTTTTTTATAACACTGGTGCTCTTCCTGAAACAACACTAAAAGGATTCGTGTCTCCTCCCGGCATCGAACAGGAGATCTTTCAGTAAAGCACTACATCACAGAGCCACTGAGGACTGAAGCACTTCTTTAGCCTTAAAAAGAAACACACAGGACCTACTTTAAAAACTTTTATTTAAGGACTCTGGCATACAATGCACAACATGTAAATATTATGCCGACGTGAAGGTCAATGTGCACCTTTTGCACGATAACACGCATGCGAGAATAGCATTACAGGTAAAGGGCACAGTTCACATATGGAGAGCTGGGTCACGGAGAAATGCCACAATCTCAGCAGAGCCACCACTCAGTAAGGGTTAAAGGCAGTCTCTGGAAGCCAGCCACGAAAAGCCAAGTTGCATCATTTTTGGCCTCTAACCCACTATATCTGCTGCACAATGGCTTTTTGAGAAACAAAACTGGAATGCCATTTACGGGCAACAAAATGAGGAAAAGCAAAACTACACAGCACAGCATTAATAAACCAGCTAACAGTCAGATGAGCTGATCCACTTTACTGTGTTAGCGATTATAACAAAACTGGTCTGACTGCTTATATAAGAATCCGGCTATAAAGTTTTTCCGCATGATTCTTTCAAGCTGTACTCCAGGGGAGAAGTGATCGATTTCAATTACTTATACTCTTAATTCAGTTTAAATTCAGTCTATTAACAGGAACCTAAAAAAAAGGGGGAAAAAACCCGTAATAGCACTTTTTAGTGACTGGGTGTCAGATGTAAAGGTTCATACTGAAAATGAGAAACAGTTTGCTGCTTCATGCCACTTTACTGAAGCAGCGAAAGAATCACACGTTTTATGTGTTAAAGTTTCTGGCTTTTAACAGATAACAGATCTGCCCCAGCCATTAGGGGACTTCTGACTCCTCGTGTGGTTTTCCCCCTAACCACCCAGTTTTAGTTAGCTACTTTTGTCAAGTTTCTTTCAGCTAAAAGACTTGTCATGGGACTTGAGTTAAGTGCCATTCTGATACTGTGTACTCTTAAGATTTTGAGGATATAAGCATATAAATAAAAACTTTCTTTTTTCCTTACTTTCATGAAATTGTAATATGAGTCATCAGGAGATTTTGTGATATAATCCTCCTTACCCTTCATCTACATCTGAAATCCTAACTTATGTGGTCGCTGACCACAAAGAAAACTCAACTGCGCTATCAAAAGAATATATTATGGTATAGTTTCCTTTAAATATCTGCTGTTATCGCTTTAATATAGATGAGCTGGGATCCTCATATGGTTGTGAAATAGTAAATAAATCCAATCAGAATAGGTTGCTCTGAACAAGCAAATATTTGATACAGTGTTTGCGTGATTAAGGTTTGTATTTGAACAACACCATAGCTGTTTTTACAAAGACCAATTCAGCAAAAATATTCCCTGGTGGAAAAAGTCAGTAAGCAAGCCGTTCGCCTGAGAAACTTGTATTGTCCCCTGTAGAGGAACCGACTTCTTGTAGGTACTTTGCATAGTTTCTTATCAGTCTGACACCAGCTTCCTGGGAAAATTAGCAGTGAGTGCGCATATTACATGTTAAATATTCAGTACTTTAGATTTTTTCTTTAAAGTGAACATCTTTCCAAGAAAGAATTGATGATCTTTCAAATTTACGAGCAATCATCATGACAGACTTGCAAAGGGAACAGCAGGCACTGATTCTAATTGATTTGAAAGTCGAATAAATGCGGGGAGCGTATTTACCTTTTCTGTGTGACTGACCTGCTTTTTATTTGCTTAAATTGGGAGAAATCACTAGAAAATATTGATTTTATGTATCACTTGATTGAGTATATCTCTTTGATTGTTTAAAAGACAATAAGCTGTTTACGTGTCCAAATATGTTTGTTTTTTGTTTTTAAGTTAACCCTTTCCGTGGGTTCTACTTACTACTTTTTCACAGCTGTGCATGTCAGTAAGGTGGGGATGGATGAGAGTTTATGTTTTTTTACCCTTTAAAAACTAGGTTATGAACTGAGTCACTGAGCACAAACACAGAAGCACCTGTAAGACGCAGCGCAGTACAGTAGCTTATAACAAACACACTACCTAAGCTATTAAGTTTCCGCTCAGACTATTAGTTCTGCTGATAGCAAAACTGATAACCCAGCCAATATTCTTGGAAACAATGGGGGAAAATGGCCAGCTCATAATTTACTTTCCAACAATACGTTTCATAAACTTGTTCGCAACTTAAAGCTGGTCCTCATACCAGCTGGCCTTACTGAACATTTACCCAATATTGGCCTAGGCTGACTCACATATCGGGCAGACTCCACACCTGTGAGCAACACAGCAGGATCACAAACCATAGCCTCGAAAATGAACAAATGCATGGAATATGTATTAAGGAGTCACGTGTTTGTTTGGTTTAATGTTTGCATGCTTCCACTAAACTTACCACCCTTGTGTTTAGAAACCATATTTAGGAGTGGTGGGCGTGTGTCTCTAAGAATCAATAAAACTTTTCAGATTATTATTAAACCATAGGATCAACCGCTTTCGGTAGCCCGGAGTTCACAGCCTCGGAGTCCCTTCACATCCCCATGAAGACATGCCCTTTTCTACGGTATCTGTATGAGAGCGGCTCACTGAAAGCTCTTTGTTCGGGGAAACACGCAGCTTTAAAAGCGGCGCAGCTGTCGGTTTCACATGACGTGGAGCTCGAGAGGCAACAATGCATCGCCGGTACAGTACGGGTCCTGCCGTTCATCACACAACAATGCTGCAAAAACAGTCATTCACACACTCACCATCCGGCTGCTGCTGCTGGTGCTGCTGCTGAGGTATTTCTCGACCTCGGACAAACTTCGCACGGACACGTTTGCGCTGGGCATAATAACCTCCAGTTAGTGGCCAGTTAGGAGCTGGTGGGTCGTCACTTCGGTGTCAGGACTAGTTTACAACTGTCGCCTAAACTCGTATCCATGTTTAGCCCCCCTTTTTTGCTCTCTCTCTCACTCCCTTACTCACTCACTCACCCGTGCACTGGCTGCTCCCTTCAACAAAACTGCGCGTGAACCTAAACCCCGCCCACTCGTCTCTCTGAAGGGTGGCTCAGCTGAAAGAGGAGGGGTTAACTCTTTAAACACACGTACCTGCCTGCTGAAGATAACACAGCCTTGAAACTCTTTTTCTCTCTTTCTCTCTATTACCACAACAATTTAAGGTACTGTAGTTAGAAATATGCGCATTAAATACGGTTTTAGATATATTATAAATGGAGGAATCTCGTTTTGGAAAGTAAAAGTAGATAATAACTTGTGAATATTTAAACCACTTAGCCTACATGTGTTATTAAAGGGGAAAAAATGCATTATAAGCAGGCAATCTAGTTATCATCGATTGAACTCTTGAGAGCATTTGCTAGAGTAAAAGCTAAAGGACTGTGGTTTAAAATTACTGTTGCAAATATCAGTTTAAAAGCTCATTTGTTGCTCTTGAAGTATCAAAGTGCACATCCTGAATTGGGTTCTACTTACCCTACAGAGCATTACCTAAGTCATTCAGTAAGCTGAATAATGCATACATTTTCTGAAGGGCTGAGTTTTTAAATTTAGTAAAGTGTGAAAGGGAAGGTTTACCAGATTGCATTTCGTTGCCCTGTACCTGTGCATGTGCAATGACAATAAAGTTGAATTCTATTCTATTCTATTCTATTCTATGTGTGTTTTGGAGGTGGCAGCACTGACTGAACGATAGAAGGATGAGTTGGAGACTGTGGTTTGGAGACGAAGTTAAGGAGGCACACTTGGCTGACTTGGTTCAGACGTGTGCAGAGGAGGGAGAGTGACTATATTGGACAAAGGATGTCCAATATAGTATATGGAGGGAGAAAGGACAACAGAGGAGGGTGAAGAAGTCACTTGGATGAGTGATGAAAATGTTCCTACGACCAAAAGTGAACAGAGTTTTGTGGGATTGAGCTGGATGATTGAGCATGGATCAACACACATCAAAGAATCTCATGGATGTCATGAAGGAGGACATGTGGAGAAGGGTGCGGATGATCTGCAGTAGGGGCCACTGAAGGGAGCAGTTAAAAAAAGAAGTAGTACTGAAACTGGGTTACTAGTACCCAGCTGTTAATGTGGTGTTGTTGTGGTGTGAAAAAGAAAAAAGTGTTTTTTTCCTCTGAGCTATGAAGTTTTGACAATTTAAGTATCACAAAGTGCATGAGGATTCACTCAGATATTACTTACTGTGTCGTTGTAAAAAATACACCGATGAACATGTATTCAAAACCAATCTATATAAACTATTAAAGTAATTACTTGTGGGGAACAAACCCTTTGTTTCTTACTGTAGGGTTAATGCCATTGAACGATGCGGTCATTTTTAAAACTGTGCAAAAATAAATACAAGAAATGAAAGTGCAAAAGTACAAAAAAAATGTGATGACCGTTATTACGTGATAATATTTCAGCTTAAGTGGTGAAAAACAGGGTGGCAGTCAAAATGCGGAAGAAAACTAAGCAGTACACGCTGCAAAGTGAAAAATGTTGTAAAATAGGGTGATGATTGCATGTATCTATAACCAGACAATCAGCAGGCCTAACAGGAAGGAAGGAGGTTTGGCCTGATGATACTCACAGCAAGTTTGATCATTTTAGATAAACCGACAGCATAACTGACATATCGTGCTGATGTTTCCCTCCAAGAAGTATTTCAATTTGATGTAAAAGAATCTGGCTTACATATAACCGGTTCTGTCACCTTGTTTTTCAACACTACCCCCCCTCCCCCTCCTCACCCCTCCCAGCTGCACAGACACCCCAGAGGCCATGAGAACAACCCAACTGGTTCTTTCATTCAGATTCAGCTCAGAATGAGCTAATCCACCATAAATACTCAGGCTCGTGTTGCATCACAAATCCCCGAACCTTAACAGTTACCGTGTTGTTTCCCATTTCTTAACTGGTTTGCATCACACATTGATATGCAGGAGCTTATGCAGTTCAAAGGTGGTGACTAAAGCGATGAACTAGTTTGACAGGACTAAGGAGAACCACACAAAGAAGCTTCTGGGATACACTGGACAATAGACTTCCAAAAAATAGCAGCAGACAACATCATTCATTTGTTCATCAAGTTTTAATGCTCCTATCCGTGCTTTTAATTAGCTGGACACACCCATGGTGTAACTACCACAAAGCCTGCAGACACTGTCCTCCGTTCAGTTACGTATATGCGCTGAGCTCTGATTAAACATTGATGAGCTTATAACACAAGCTGTAAGCACAGCGCCCTGCAACATCTTCCACCGTCATGTCATTTGACACAAAACACAACAATAAGTCGGTTGGACAGGATGCAGATTTTGTATTACTAATTCAGAAGGGACATGTAAACAATCTGGTGTGTTTATAGAAGCGGTTCAGCTTCCAAGAATTAGCATTTAGACTAAGTGAAACCAAAGTCCTGCTAGAAACAGGTCTTGCAACTCAGGAGACATCCTGAAATTCTTATTTTGAAGCATTACTTAAATGTACTTATATAGAGAAAAGTCTGACAAAATAATTTATTCCCCCCTGGAAGTTATACTTTTACCACCATCGTCATCATCGTTTACAACAGGCTGAACTGCAGGACCAACACAAAGAGCTGTGTACAGAAAGGGGAGTAGTAAGTTTGATTTCCCAGGTAAGATGATATCTCTCAGTGTGTGCCACAAAATGATGGGAGATTTTCTATCACTAAGCTGTGGCAAGCACTGTGTACTCTGCTGGGGGACAGCATCAGAGCTGGTGACACTGAACAGACTGAATAAACTGATTAGGAAGGCTGGCTCTGGGATTGGCTGCAAACTGGATGCTTTCAGCGCTGTGGCAGAGAGGAAGCCACTGAAAATATAAATGTGACAAATATCACCTGATCAGCCCTCTGCACTTATGAGTACATAGCTAGGGTTAGCGTTATTTCTCTGTGAAGTTCTGAATAGATCTCAGTTAAATGGCCTTTTGGAAGTGGGCTTTTCTGCTTTGCATGAGACAGTGGGTTTACAAACCCCTTGTGGTCAACCACTTTGAGCCAGTTTCGTTCTGAGAATGATTTAGTTCATGAGAAAGGTGTTTAAAATGGTGTTTGAGCTTTATCTCTGCATGCTCAAGAACATTTGTCTCATTTACTTCTAGAAAGCTACTTTCAGATGCTGCCTTATTCATACGGGGTCACCATAGCAGGCAACTGCATGATTTTGTGCACTGGATGCAACCCCAAAGGGATTTATGTCTCCTCCTGCAAATGAATCTGGGAACTTTTGCTTGTTAGGTAAATATGTAAACAACTACACTATTAAATTCTTATTGAAGTACGAATGTTCATCCATCTGCAGATTATCACAATTCACAAGCTGTTGTCTTTCTCCAGTGAGGCTGTATTTTTAAAGCACTTTTGCAGTTATGACTGAAATATTTTCACCTAAAACTGAATGATAATGAAAACAAAACCTGTTTATGTGCAAAGTTTTCTTAACATGACTGGTAATGGTGCAAAACACGTGTTATATTTGTGTGCGCTATATAAAAGTATCATTCATTCAAAATAATCAGTGCCGTCAACTCCTGCTGACAATCATGTTTGAAAGATGTTTTTATTTTCAAATGATATGACCATCATTTTCTGTTCGTGTGAATTTGTCCAAAAAAAGATGAAACCCACGAACTACCAAGTGCTGCCCGTTAGCCTTGGTCAATTCTATATACAAAGCTATATACACAAATACTTCAGATCCAGATGACGTCCGTTTTTTGAAAAGCGATGTTGCCAATCCTTTGGACTGGCAAACAAATGAAAAATAAAAGTTTTAACTTTAAATTGATCTCACAATTCAGTTCACATTATGACAACTTTTTTTTTCTTAATTACTTAATAATTACCACTATAAAAAAAGCTGTGTATGAAAACAAACCATACTGATGTCGTCAAAAGTACAAACAAGATTTGCCAAAAAACAAAACAAAACAAAAAAACACAAGGCCTGGAGTCTTTTAAGGATAAAATATTATGTACAATAAAAAGCACGCACCAAGCCTACCATCCAAGTTTCAAAGGGTTTGTTCCTGAACAGGCAGATACAGATAGGCTTCCTTGCAATTGGGAGTTGATTTTATTTGTCCTAATTGTGAGCTGCGCTCTACTGACAGGTTCCTAAGGGGTCAGATGAAGGACAAAGTTAAGATGTGAAAAAAAAAATTCACAAGTTAAACTGGGTCATTATGTTATGACCTTTCAGTGACGTGAATAGGCGGCCACTGAATCTTCAGTCTCGTGTCGCTATAATAAATAGCTGCGCGTCAGACAGCAGAGGCGGCCTGGCTATTATAATCAGTGGACTCCATTTTGAGGATGTAAGGGATGATGCTGTCAATCTGCACGTTGCCAATGAGCCCAGCGAAAAACAGCTCCTCGGTGACAGCTGCACTTATCAGCCTGAGGGCAGGGAGACGCAGCAACAGCTTGGATAACCTGGGATTGATGAGAAACAGACATCAAATTCAACATGTAACAAGTAAATCTACGAGAACAACACACACACACACACACACACACACACACACACACACACACACACACACACACACACACACACACACACACACACACACACACACACACACACACACACACACACACACACACACACCTCTGTCCTGCTTTTTAAGAGTTAAAAAACTTATGGTGCGTTTCCAGCATTGCCGGCGTTATGCAGCACAGAGGTGAAGCCTACAAACCTGTAAGAGTCTTCTGGATATGTTCTGGTTACATAGTCCTGCAGCTCCATGTAGGCTTTTTCCTGGAATCTCTCTATCTGTGGGATATTATCTATGCCCGGATGATCTGTTACAAAAAATAATGTATATGCACAGTCAGACTTGAGTACACCAAGGAATCTGCTTTTGTGCAAATCGGGGGGGATTGTCTACGCACCAGGGCTGAAGAGTACAATAGCTTTGAGGTAGGCATATTCATACGAGTCGGGGGAAAGCTTGGACACGCTGTTACAGAACTCCTGCATCCTCCAAATGTGCTCCATCACTATTTTCACTCTCTCTGGGGACAGCTTCTCTGTGAGACCAAGGGGGAAAAAAGGGCATGATATAACAGACATGCCACAAAAGTGAATAAGACAAGATAGGGGTAGGAATTGATAAGCATTTGCTTCCTCGTCCTCCTTTTCAAACAGGAAACTGTCAACATTTTGTTTTTTTCTTTGTGAATAGGATGGCTTTTAATGATTTTGTGTTTATTTGTTTTTTTTATATGCATTAGCACTTGTTGCTTCCATTTTCAAAATAAAAATTTGTTTGATTCATTGAACATCTTGTGTTACTGTCCCCTGAGTCTGTCTAGCTTAACAGCTTTCCTCTTTCTCAAACTGTAAACAAGTATTAAACCTCTCAGGAAGACAGCAGCAGAGCTCTCCTACCTTCCTGTAAGCTGGTCTGGAGATGGTTGATAATAGCACTTAAGATGGTGCCGACATTCATTACATTTGAACACTGTGCCAGACCCAGGGCAAAAAGTTCATTCCAGCAGGCTTTCATCAGGTTAATGTCATTGTCTTGCCCGCTGTAAAACAAAATGCACATGGTTAATGTACTACAAAGGACAGTGCGTGCACATGTAACGGTGCACTTCAAAGACACGTGATTTAACAGACATTATCCACAAAGAATATTCTTGCAACAACAGGCTTACCCGAGGGTTTGAAAGGCAGGTATGGAGCGTGCCCAGTGCATAGAGAGAAAAAGTAGCCGTGAAGCCGATTCACAGATGTAGTTGACATTGAGGTACTCTGGCACAGGCAAAGGCATCATAAGCTGCAGGAATGGGGAAAGAAAACAAAAATATGCTAACAATGCAGCTCTGTTTAACACAATCAGGTGTTTTTAATCAAAGGGGAGAGTCACAATCAGTGGCTGTCCTTTTACCTTGAAAGGGATATGGCTGTCAGAAAGTAGAGGTCCTTCCAGCTCCACCACAGGGCCCGACTGGTCCCCTGATATCAGCTGCATTGTAGCCTCCAAGGACTCTCCTGCTGAGCCATCACCAGGGTGCAGGACTTTGGCCAGGGTGTCAAAAGCTCTAATGATACACAACATATACACTTATTATATTTTGAAAAATGCTTGCACTGAAAAATCCTCACATTTGCATTTATAAGTTGTATATTACAGGAGATTCATCACAAAGCAATACAGCACCACTGTCACAGATGCAAAATGCTATACTTTTGATCAGCAGAGTGCCAGTCTAATTAAAGCCTTAAGATCGAATTAGAAACCACATGGCCCTGCAGGAAATTCAATTACAGCTTTATGACAAACAGAAAATAGAAGCCAGAGAGTTTCGTGAGTTTCATTCTGGTGCTTCTTTAGGCCTCGGTATCAGCATCAAAGCATCTTGATTTCTTACGACAGCTCTCACCTCGAGATATCACTTGCAGTTTGTTCATCTCCCTGGATATCAGTCATTGAGCTGTCACCGTTGCTAAGTGTTTCAGCTCCCATCAGATCATTTCCGCTGTCACTCGCTTCTCTGCTCTTGTTGAGGTGGGCAAGGGATGTTACTACATTTGCCAGTGTTCCAAGGTCACCCTGGCATGGGTCCTCCTGCTGAGGAGGGGACAGTTGTTATCGAACAGTCTGGTCACTGAACTGGTCCCAGAAACAACAGGGACAAAACTGGTTCACAGCAAACTTATTAGGACACGTCTTCATCAGTGAATGTGCAATGAGTTTCGTTTGTTTGTTTAATCCTAAACACTCTAAAGTTCTCTGCTTGTATATAAGGTAGAAAACATATAAGCATAATACAGTTATACTGCATCCGTGTTACCTTTTCAGGTGAAGCTGGAATCAAGATGGTGTTTTCCAGCTTGGAGAAGGGTTGCTGAATGTTGAGCAACATGCTTGACTCAAGCAAACTTGTAGATCTGATGTTAAGAGATTTGACATCACATATTGCATTATACTTTACAAGGCCGTGTAGCAAAATAATCATTTCCAGGCAGAAATATTAATCGAGCTTCTAATTGTATATAACGTTACATAAAAGACTTCCAATGTAAGTTCAATATAACTAAGCAAAGTCAAAGGAGCTTGCAAAGAAAAGCGTCTGGACTTCTTTAAGTTGCTTGAAGACGTTTCACCTCTCATCCGAGAAGCTTCTTCAGTTCTAAGGTCAAATGGTGGAGAGTCCCAGATATAAACCTAGTGGGAGTAACCCCCACAGAGGGACAAAAGGACCCCCTGATAATCCTCTAATCGCCTGAGCCAAGGTGGGAAACTGGGTGTGGGTCCCAATCAGCCAGGGTTTCGGGTGTGTTCATTGTGAAACCTGGCCCCACCTTATCATGCGAATTCCTGAGGTCAGATGGCCCAGAAGGCGTCTGGGAAGGGATCTCAAAACTGGATTATAGATGGCAGAGAGTTGGTGTCGTAAACCCCCGCCTCTGTTCAAAGATGGTCGCTCACAGTGGACATAGATGGCTTCTTTCACTCCTCTTTCAAACCATCTGTCCTCTCTGTCCAAAATGTGAACATTGGCATCCTCGAAAGAGTGTCCTTTATCCTTAAGATGCAGATGGACTGCTGAGTCTTGTCCTGTGGAGGTGGCTCTTCTGTGTTGTGCCATGCGCTTGTGAAGTGGCTGTTTGGTCTCTCCAATGTAGAGGTCTGAGCATTCCTCGCTGCACTGTACAGCATACACCACATTGTTAAGTTTGTGTTTTGGCGTTTTGTCTTTCGGGTGAACCAGTTTCTGTCTGAGCGTGTTGCTGGGTCTGAAATTTTGGACAGAGAGGACAGATGGTTTGAAAGAGGAGTGAAAGAAGCCATCTATGTCCACTGTGAGCGACCATCTTTGAACAGAGGCGGGGGTTTACGACACCAACTCTCTGCCATCTATAATCCAGTTTTGAGATCCCTTCCCAGACGCCTTAACGCCCACTCACATCCTGGGCCATCTGACCTCAGGAATTCGCATGATAAGGTGGGGCCAGGTTTCACAATGAACACACCCGAAACTCTGGCTGATTGGGACCCACGCCCAGTTTCCCACCTTGTCTCAGGCGATTAGAGGATCATCAGGGGGTCCTTTTGTCCCTCTGTGGGGGGTCACTCCCACTAGGTTTATATCTGGGACTCTCCACCATTTGACCTTAGAACTGAAGAAGCTTCTCGGATGAGAGGTGAAACGTCTTCAAGCAACTTAAAGAAGTCCAGACGCTTTTCTTTGCAAGCTCCTTTGACTACGATGACCTGGATGACTGAGAACCTTCACAGACATAACTAAGCAAAGGCATTGGAAATGTAGAAAAATAACATGTACAGCACATTTTATTTATTATGTTTTCTTACACTGTGGACATTTAGCAGAATTCAACAAAACTAATAATAACAACAACTGTCTTATCAGTATATTAGAGTTTAAGTAAGATTTACCGAGCAGTTTCCTTGTCGGATGCAAAAGTAGGTGTAGCAGCCAGAGGGCTACACAAGTTCTTGCGGATGTAGATCTTTTCAGTGGAGGCTGCACAGTTGACGGATTTTTCTCTCGCAGTGACTTCAACAGGCTTTCTCTCACACTGAACAGCTAAGAGATCAAAGTCATAGTCACGTCAGTATTTTATCGTGCAGGTTCTTAATAACTTAATATAGTATTACAGTTTCTTACAGTCCTGCTTCATGCCCAGAGCTATACAGCGCTGCAGTCGACAGTACTGGCAGCGATTTCGGTGTAGCTTGTTAATAGCACATTCTCCGGAGCCCCTGCATGTGTACACCAGGTTCTTCCTTATGCTGCGTTTGAAGAAGCCTTTACAGCCTTCACAGCTAACGGCTCCATAATGACGTCCTGAAAGATGAAAGGGAAATGTAATCAGGTGTGCTTATGTGTCATTTCAATACCAACATTATAAAAAAAATCTCTTTCTCTCTATACACACATATATATATACCTAATGCATACCTGAGGCCTTATCCCCACAGACAACGCAGTACTCCACAACAGGCTTCACAATAGACTGGTCTGAGCTTTCAGTCACAAACTGCCAAACAACCCCAGAAATTGAATAATTTAATACAGCAAACACTGCAAGCAGGCTGACTAAACATATTCATGCCCCAGTCATTAGACTTTTCAGCTTGTTTATCAAAACTGGAAGGAGTCAATAACATCTTCAGGCAATACCTGAATCTGCTGCCCAGTGAGTTCGGGGGAGGCAAACAGCAGCTGATTAACCCCAGAACCATCTGGAGTAGTGAGGATGACCTTGTTGGGTGAGCCTTCCTGCTTGGCCAGAATTACTTTCCCCCCAGAAGAATAATCAGCATTTGCAAGGATAAACTGCTGCTTTCCAGGGGAAGATGGCTCAAGTGCTGTGACGATCTGGATCTTCTGTCCAGTCTGCTGATCAGTTACAATCTGTTAAAAAAATATATATATATATATATATAAAAACATGAGCAGGTGTTTACTGCATGTGCTGAAATGATAAGTGGAATTGACACATTTTACAAGCAAATTGCGCATCTTTATTTATTCACACAAATTCAGTCTCTGGGGGAGAACGGGCCATATCGTCACCTGGATTCTGTGTCCTAACGCCATGTTGTTGTCTGCAGACACAAGCTGAATCCTTTGAGCCTGTCCATCCATTCTGATATTGCACACACCTTCCTCCACCACCGTTCACATCAGTGCCCCATGAAACAGGCACACCTGTACAATTAAACATCTGTATTACTCTGTTGGGATCAGAGAATATCCTTTAAAAACAAAACAATTACTTCACAATGTTCTTACAGTAAACAAATCCCCGAATCACTTATCATCACTTCTGATTTATCATCCTTTCCCCCACGATAAAAATATGTTTTTTCTAATGCTGAGGCTTTTTCTAAAAATATGCATGACTGGTTGTTTTGCACAAAAATTCAACAGAAAAGCAAAGTCAGCAGTGGCTTCACAGTAAATTGCCAAATAGTTCTTAAAACAAACTGCCAGTCATTTCATTTTTCAACACACTGATTGACTGGCTAAATAAAGTCAGTCTCAGCTGATATACAGAAATGCTTTCCTATCTAAAAATAAACATTAAAGTCAACCTCAATAATATTCTATAGGTTGAGATCTAGCAAATACATTTTAAGACCATTTTTAGCAGATGCCAGGGATTTCCCAGGAATATAGAACTGTGATATAAAAATTTAAAAAAAATGTAACACATTTTTCAAAGTAGTTTTCTTTACTCAATTGTAAAATATGTTTGTGTTCATCAAATGGCATCAAATAACAAGAAAAGGCACAGACTTGTCTTAAGTAAGCAGAAATTTGCCAACCAAAGAGAGTTTGGCCTTCTACTACAGTGAAATCACGAGAACTTGATGAAAGTATTTTTTCAAAATTTTTTTTTCGATAATTGGAGTTTGATTTTAATATGGCCAAAAAAATGCATAGTCCTCTGTTAATTAAGGCCACATTGCCCTTTGACTTAACTATATGCAGTTCAGTCGACACCACCACAGGTCAGGAAAATCCCTCAGTTCACAGTTCACACTTGTTGAAACGCAGTTCAGCTTCTAAGTGTTTTACAATGAACAGTGCAAATAATGCAGGAAGAGGTCACCCTGGAGTTACATTTCCTCTGTTATCATTATATTATTATAGTTAATGTTATAATTATTATTGTTGTTGGCTCAATCTCATATTTCTGGACAATAGCCCTAGTCTATAAATAGGAGGAACAAACACAATCAAAGTTAACTTGATTAATCAACTGATAACATGTTAATAGAAAGAGTAATGTAAAATAGCAGAAGACTCATCTTTTAATCACAAAAAATATTTCTTAGGTTCTACCAAAGATCTAATTAGTGTTTTTTAATAATCTGATGTCTGCAAAGGGAGCTGGGACAACGTGATATATTTCAACTAAGAGCAAATAAGTCTGGCAGAACTTATACTTACATAACCAATAATTATTCATACTCCAGTTTTCTCCAGTCCTTGTAGTTACAGCCCGACATCTGTTTATATTTTTAAATTATGTCAAAAGCTAATAAGTCATGCATTGCTTGAAATAACTTTTACTAAACCAATATAAAAATATAGGTATTTAATCTGTTATGTACAGTGTCAGTAACTACATGTTAATTTGTGGCCTGTGCTAACCAATCAAGCCGGTGCTAGCTCGAAAATGCACTATTGGTGGCCTTGCGATAAAAGACAGCTTAATGTCGCGGTAAAGTAACAATAAATGAACGACAAAGACACTGTATGAAAACATACATCCTCCTGACAGCCAACTATTTAAAATCGATACGGAAGATAAAGGTATTTCTTTTCCTGTGGGTGAAAGGTCAACATTGAAGGGTTAAAGCATGCTAGGGTTCAAGGCCCATGATGCCGAATCGTACAGTGAACAGTTGCGCTCCGTTTTTCACAACTGACCAAAAATCGCAATAATTTTGGCACCGGACTTCCACGCGAGTCGGCATTTGAGAACAGCTCACGATTTAACACTTTTAAATTGCTGCTGTTATACTCACACTTACGGAAAGGATGCTGTTGCTTGCTTTACGCAGTGTGGTTTGCGACGCTAGCATTAGATAGCCGTAGCACGGTTAGCTAAAGCGGCTAACATAGCTAGATAGCATATATGTTGACGATATTACTGACGTTATGCGTTAACCTATGATGTTAGCTCTATAACTGTCTGTAGAGTCTCACAAACATAGCAGCACCTTTACATACTTGCCGATCTTATGTCTTATGCTCCCAGCTCCACACGACAGTGCTAGCGAGCTAAATTAGCTTTTTGCTAGTTGGTAGCTAATGGCAGCTTCCCTACTGTAGACCTACTGAACACTCCCTCCCTTCCTGTGTTACTGGCCGCTCACGGATCCTTCTTTAACCTCTCCTCTCCGCATAACTAATAAAGTCTTACCTTTCGACGAGCTGTTGGGTCAGATATTTTGCTGCCTTAAATAAATTAATATTTTTAAGTGTTTGTTGCAGGTAGTGGGAGGGTCAGAGTTCGTGACCTTTTTTTATCAATAAATAAGACTCGCACATGCGCATTTGGGCAACATCGATTCATATTGTGTACACTAAAACCTACAGCAATTGTCATGTTTAGACGTCACATTCCTGGTAAACCGTTCATAATGTAGTCTTCCTTTCATTATACTCATGACAAAAATCAAAACTCAAAGAAAATGAACAGGAAATCTTTCATTTGATTAATGTTTTTCTCAATGACAATATACTTTAAATTGTTAAATCTTTTTGTTGGTCATTTTTGTCACATAGTTTTAGGTTTAAGTTTAATTCTGAAATTTTAAAACAGCTTCTGTCACACCAGCTATTATTCCATTGCCTACAATGTCCTAAACCATTTTCTCACAATCCCTGCACTTGAATGATTTAGCAAGAGTACACACAACTGGGCTTAAATTTGTGACATATCACATTAGTGAGGATTAGATATTGCACAACATTTTTCTTATCAGTTGGGTTACGGTGTCTTCGCAGCAAACTGATAAATTTACATTAAAGATTACGATAAAATTCAGCAAACTGTTATGAAGACATTGTAAGCCTTTTGAAATTTCATAATCAAATGTTGAAAATATTGCACCTTTATACTAAAAAGGGGCACAGTGACAAAAAATGAACCGCCCTCTTTTAAGTGCAAATAAATTCATTTTACATAACCAGCTTTTCGATACATAAAGTGCAGATAAAAAGATCACAAAGTGCTCTTTTAAAAGCACTAAAAAGATCACAAAGTGCTCTTTTTATCTAGAAAGGTGCTATATAAATACAATTTTAAATTGTCTCATTACATGTCTTTTCCAGTATATTCTTGACTGGTTACTGGTTCTATATTATTATAATTGAGAGTGAATAAAGTGACATAAATAAATAATATTTAGTTCCATATAACAGTAGCATAAAAATGAGTGATGCCATTTGCTCTGCTGTCATTACTTGAAGAATTCTAATTGTAAAGATAAATGAATAATCCTAAAACTATGCTTTGGTAACTTATGTTATGTAATGGATGGTCTCACAATGCTGTACATGTCATGAGCTGCCCCTATTTTGCTAGCAAAGTAGGAAATAGGTGCAATAACTTATTGGCACATGTAAACATAATTAGAAATAGAGTCTATAAGGCAGAAACAGAGTGTGTACAATTTTAATAACATCATATCATGTGTTTCTTCAACACAGCTTGAACTCTCGTAGTTAAACTTTCTTGTAATTTCTTAAAGAAATTTTCAGGAACAGTTCTCGAGGATTCTTGAATGACATTATTTTTAAAAAAGGATGAACCCACACTGCTTCAATAGTGTTGATCTCTGGTGAGACCAATCCATGACTGACACTGTTGCTTTGATGTTTCATGGCACATCAAAATCTGCCAGTGCTTCTTTGTATTCATTCCATCAGTTTAGATAAAATCCCCCACACCACTGACTGAATTCCAAATCCAAACCATGTTTACAGGTGACTGTAGACACTCACTGTTGTATCTCTTTCCAGGCCTCTTCTGGACACATTAACAAAATCTGGGGTCATCACCTCATAAGACTGATTTTAAGTCCAGTTCTTGTGTACTTTGGCATATCTCATCCTTTTCTTGTTTCCATCCCTTAAGAATGGTGTTTTGCCTGCCACCCTTCCACTGAGACCATTTCTGATGTGGCTTCAATGAAAAGTAGATGAATCAGTTGAAAGACCACATGCATCTCTCAGGTCCTGTGTCAGGTCTTTGCTTGTTTTTTTCCTATTTCTTAAGGACATAACTTTCAGATACTGTCCATCTGATGTTGAAGCGTCTTGGGGCGACTGTTGTTGTGATTTGGCGCTATATAAATAAAATTGAATTGAATGTTACTAGTAGCTCTTTGAGAATCACTTTGTTGGCGCAAAACTACTATTTTTATGCCTGCCAAACGGTGTTAATCTTTTTGCAACAGGCTGCTAGTAACACAGCGTGTAAAGATAAAATTTAGGTACAAGGACTGGACGGAAAATGAATGAAAAAGCAGACATGTCCAAAGAAGACACTTTTAAAGACCTTCTGAAAGCCTGAAGAGCTATGGCTCAAGAGCAATTCTGGTAATGAAATGAGGGGTGACTCAAGATATCTGCAAAAGACTGTATAAACTAGGGGTGCAACGATACACAAAATTCACGGTTCGGTTCGGTTCGATACTTTGGTGTCACGGTTTGATATTTTTTCGATACAAAAAAATGTTCATGCCTTTTTAATTTGTCATTTATTAAAATTATAAATATATATTTTAACTCAAAAGTACAGTTTTTAAATTGAATGTTGCTGAAACAAAAGTAATTAAAAAAATAAATTATCTGATTGAGGAATCACTCATCTTTGGAAAAGAGAGTTTATTACAGAGTTCTGTTTGTACAGTTATGTTTTGTTTATGTTGCCATAGTGACGGGTGACGCCCTCTCGTTGCGACGGTGTGTCCTTCCGGGGTCAGAGGGCGCCCTGTGTGTTGTTGTTGCTGTGCTGTTGCCGCGCTGAGCAGTTAGCTAGCGGCAGTGTTCTTCTGCAGATGTCAATTGTTAGCAGAGCTGCTCTGTGCAGCGTTATGGCATAATAATTTTAAGGGAGAATAAAAAGTCGACACACATATCTCATTCCTGACGGAGGACTCTACCACTACACTTCTCCAGTCCATTCACAGAGTCGTTTTTTTTTTTTTCCCAATCTTTTTTTTTTTTTTTTTTTTTTTCTTTTCCAAAATCTTTATTTAAACATCAGTACAATACAAAATGGAATTAAGCAGTATTACAATAATGGTGATGTACTTACAGAAGAATTGTATGCATAGATAAACAAATACAAGAACAGTATTCAGAAACAACAATATAAATATGCTAGGGGGAAAGTAACTAATCAAGCCAAAGAACAAAGTGATTGAAAGATCTTGATTTTTTCACAAACACCAATAGTTTTTATAGCTTTTGGGTTAGTGGAGTTCTTAATAGAGTTAAGATACTGTACAAGTTCAAAGGAGAATACATAGAAAGAGGGATGTCTTCCTAAATATTTGGACTTGTGAATATGAAATTTAGCCATTAAAAGTAACAAGTTAATCATATATCTGTTATCAAAATTGAATTGTTTTTGATTTTTGTGCAGACCAAACAAAACATATTTCCAAAACAGTACAAATCCTTTAAATATATTTTCTGAAATAAAAACACATAAGCTCTGCCAAAAATCTTGTACAAGGTTACAAAACCAAAAAAGATGTGTAGTAGATTCCTTGGAAGTTTTACAAAAGCTACAGCTTGTATCAATGTCTAATTTGAATTTGCTTTGAAGATAATCTTTAGAAGGATAAATTCTGTGTATTAATTTATAAGAAATATCTTTAATTTTGTTGGTAATTAAAAACTGATTAGGGAGTTTCCAAACTTCGTTCCACATAATACCATCTGACAGCCGGTTCCAGAAAAAAATAACATATGGTAGCGTGGTTATGGTACTCTGAAATAAAGCTCTAATCGATTTATTGTTGTTTTTAGATTGCTTAGAAAAGCAAATCTTGCCAACAAAAGTTTGTATGGGAGATGTCAACGGCCTGTGGAATGAAGTGATATTAGGTTGATTCTTAAACAGCATACAAACCCCTGATGGTATTGAGCCAAATACTTTGGTATAATCATGACGATTTATAGCTAAATTGAAGTGTAAACAAAATTCTTCATAGGAGAAAAGCATACCATTTGAGTCAAATAATTGGTTGACTAAAACAATGTCATTCCTAAACCAACTATCTAAGAAGAGAGATTTTCTTTTAAATAAAACATCCTTATTATTCCAGATATAATAACTGTGTGGACTAAAGTTATGCTTGTAAATAAGGGTCCAAGCTAAAAAAGCTTGACGATGAAAAGCAGAGATCTTTAACGGGATTTTATCAATATCAAAATTACAAGTAAGGAAAAATTCAGTACCACCTAACTTAGAAAACATGAACACAGGTATAGCATTCCAAATGGAAGTAGGATTAGTAATTAGATTCTTCAACCAATTTATTTTGAATGTGTTATTTAAAGTGTTAAAATCTAACACATTAAGTCCTCCGTTGACATAGGAGTTCATAAGAACTGTTTTTTTAATGTAGTGTGTCCTATTTTTCCAGATAAAGTTGAAAATTAACTTATCAACCTCTTTTATAAGCTTTTTATCAAGGTGCAATGCCAATGCAGCGTATGTAAGACGAGAGATGCCTTCTGCTTTAGTTATTAATACTCTGCCTTTTAACGACAAATCTCTTAAGAGCCACTGATTAAATCTGTGTTTGAGTTTCTCTAGAATAGGATAAAAATTTTGAGTTATTCTACTTTCCTGGTTCTTGGTTATTATGACACCTAAATAACGAACTTCTTGTTTAAGTGGAATGTTACACAAAGCTGTTTTCGAGCAGTCTTTTATCGCCATAAGTTCACATTTAGGAATATTCAAG